ATATGCGAACGCTGCAAAACGATGACGACTTCGGGGTTGCTCACGTTCGTCTCTCTTGTTTGAGCAACTCGTCGTCGTCAATAACGACGTAAGGATGTAGGAAGAAATATTCCTTGCCACACCCGTCGGACCCCCATGCAGTAACGTCGAAGGTGGAATAAAACTTGTCGTCAAATGTGAAACCGACAAAATCGGAGCGTTCGAGCTTCAAATCTAGGGCGAAATCTATCCAGCCCTCAGTAAAGTAGTAGTGCCCGTCCTCCGTTTGCTCGACTTTTACGTTCCATGTTTCTCCCGAACAGATCCTCAGTCTCATGTCCCAGAATATGTAAAAGTACCATTTTACGAAAGTTGTAGAAAATCAAGTTAGCTTTCCAGAACATATTAAATCACCCCAATCGGAGTTCATATGGAGAAGTTATGATGAAAACACGAAAGGGTGTCAAAACTGCCAACACACCTTTTCATGAATAATGCAACCGTTCGTGAAGCGATGCAACCCCAGCGTACCAACACGTCTCAAACACTTTATGGTGCACGAAATTTTGGTGAAAGAAGACCGAATCGAAGAATAATGATGGAATCATGCTCGAAATATGATGAGGTTGTATATTATTCTCAACTCATGAATATTATTTAATATTTTCATGGTTCCATTGTAGGTGCAATTTTACACAGCACACATAGTTCGACTTGGAGGCTTAATTTGATCATGATCCAATCCGAATCTAGAAAAATATGAAAGACGAAAGTTGTAGGAAATTTCGTTGGCTATTCGGATCATATTGACTCAACAAAATCGGACATCGGATGCCAAAGATATGATTAAGCTTTTTTCGTGCTGCCAAAACTGCCGATGCATTCCTTATGCGAGAATTTCAAATTCGTCCCGGAAGTTTGAAACGACACATTTATAATTATTTCGGGTACGCCTTTTTATTTATAACATTGTATCTCATGCAATTAAGTGATAATATTATATGATAAATAATATGGTATTACATGAGATAGAAACATAGTTATGTTGCATGATAAAGTTATGGCGTAATAATATTGCACTATATGTTATAATTGACATTAACATTATTTTTTAGAGCATGATAAATCTTGAATGTTGTTATGCTTGAAGCATGTATAGATACTTTGAATGTTATTTTGATATGTTGAGATACATGAATTAATCTTGATATATGCATTAAATTTTGCTGAAATTCGTATGCAGTATTTATATTAAATTAGTGCATAATATTATGAGATATCAGTATTGTCGCATACATGAGATAATATATAATAATTTTTCTTTTTGATATGTTATATTTATATGATGTCGAATGTGTGTGTGTGTGTGTGTTTGTGTAAAAAATGTGTGTGTATGTGTATGTGTATGTGAGTGTGTGTGTGTAAAAAAGTGTGTGCGTGTGTTTGAAATGTGTGTGTGTGAAAAGTGTGTGAATATTACGTGTAAGTGTGAAAGTTGAGATATTAAACCACATCAATTGAGATATTAAACCCAAAAAGTTGAGATATTCAACTTCATAAGTTGAATTAAAGATGGAATGGATCCATGTGGATCCAATCCGGGTCGGTCTAAATTCGATCCACATTAGATCCATTCATATAGGTTGATTTAGGATCGGTTCCATTTGGATCCAATTCACATGGATCCGGATCGGATGCGGTCCAAGTTGCAAAATTGCCGCCCCTAGATTTTTGTAAAAGACTATAATAGCCCATCATACTTTAATATGCTCCAATTTCATCCTTAATTTAATTTATCCTCAATATGACCCCAAATTTTACAAATTATTCAATTTTGACCCAAAACTTTTTTTTTATTCCGGCGTTGACTTTTCGATTTTCTTTTCTTCCTTCCGGATTTTTTCGCCGGTCTCCGGCGTTGACTTTTTTTTTTCTTCTTTCTGTAACATTTTTTTTTTCGTTTAAACAACAATATTGCTGTGATTGACAGTAATATTAACTATATTACTGTTAAATACAGCAAAATTAACTAAACTACAGTTTAAGACAACAATATTGTTATATTAATCTCTAGCACAGTTATATTAATACAAAAAAAAATCATTATTATTGTGTAATAGAGTAATATTACTATGTTGACTATTCAACAAATGTAAACATAATAAAAAGCCAAAATAATTAATATTATTGTAAGTGACAGTAATATTACTATAACAACAGTAATATTACCGTCAACCATAGTAATATTACAATAATATACATTAATATTATTACGTTACTCCGTGAATAACTCAAACAAACAAAAAAATCCAAACAAAGTAATAATATTGATGTGGTTGACAACAAATATTACTATAACAATAGTAATATTACCGTCAACCACATTAATAATATTGTGTTTACAATAATATTACAATAATAGACAGTAATATTATTACGTTACTCCGTGAATAATTCAAACAAAACAAAAAACCCAAAAAAATAATAATATTGATGTGGTTGACAGTAATATTATTGTGTTTATAGTTGTTTTACTGTCAAAGACAGTAATATAATTACGTTGACTTGTCAACAAATCAAACAAAAAAAAAAATTAACAAAAAAAATAAAAAATAATAATATTACGTTAATTTACTGTCAACGGCAGAACAATTACATAAATGTATTGTCAACGGCAGTACAATTACGTTAAATATTAAACGAAACGCGGTCATTTGAACACATGCAATGTGGCGTTCATTGAAATTATATGTTTTAAAGAAACGGACAACAAAAACGAGTGTTACACGATATTTCGGATTTGCAACTTGCAACTTGCAAACTCATAACAGAGAATTACAAAAAGCAAACTCTTAACAGAGAATTTGTAACAATGTAAAGAGCAAAACGCAAACGCAGTTTCAAAAGACACATAAAAAGAAGATCTAACACTAAACAAATCAAAAAAAATGTAACTTAAAATGCAGTTTATATTTTGTTTAAGAATAAACATTAACCAAAGTGATAACATTAACAAACCCCTCAATTTGTTTACCTGATTTTGGGGATTGGAAGTCATCATCACCCTTTGCTGTTAGGGGGAAAAAAAGGGTTCTCAAATTATTATCGAAATATTAGAAATAAATAGCAAACAACAAAATGTAAAATCGGAAAAGGAAGAAAACTCAAAATTATAAAATGAACAAAAGTCAAAAGCAACAAACAATTTACAGGATCATTGTTTACCAAGAATTAATCGTGTTTTGGTCATCGTACAAATTCCAAATAGCAAACCCCTATACACCAGCCGTCGTTTACGAACAGTAAATAATTAGGAAACAACAAAAGGAACCCATGGCAAACTGGTTGAGCAAAAGAAACTGCAAACGACCTTATAAATTGCAAACGTTCAAACAACCTAACCTATGGAAGGCTACACAATTTGTGGAAATGTTTTGGTATTGAAGAAATGGTGAAGAAATCGATATCCAGATATTTGCAATTCTAATTTTCAGATCTGCAGTAATGGGTGGATTTGATAACTGTTAGGTCAAAGGAAAATGGGGAGAAAAATAGGGGATTTGATTTTGAAGATTTATTTTACCATATATTTATAGGGGTACTTTTGACAAATTACAAATTACAAATAATAAAATCTGCTGGAAATTAGAATTTATTAGATGGATTTTAACTTAGATATAATCTCTTATAAGAGGACTTATAGCAAGTTCCTCCAAACTAATTACTTGGTGTTATTAAAAAGATAAAAAAGGAAAAAAAAGAGTGTATTGGAGAAATAGAAGTTGAGTGAGAATAATTTAACTAGAAAGATTTGTGTTCATTTTAACTATTATCTTTCATTTTCAATCTGCCAAATATATTATTTTCAGTCTATATTTATTATTTTAATGTTACTATTTTATATTCTAATTTCATTTAAGTAATAATTGCATTTTTTATTTAACTTTTGTATAATCTAGCTTAAGTTGTTGCTTACACTAATGTTTATAATTTACCTTATGCATGCACATAACTTAATACAATTCCTAATCGAATATATATATATATATATATATATATATATATATGTATATATATATATATATATATATATATATATATATATATATATATATATATATATATGTGTGTGTGTGTGTGTGTGTGTGTGTGTGTGTGTGCGCGCGCGCAGAGTACACACATGCGCGCAGGTGTATATGTGATCTTTCCATAATGGTTTAGAAAATAGGACGAGCTGGAAAGGACGATCAGAACACTAAAGAAGTATGCTGTTATATACACAAAAGAAGCTGCTGCTACAACAGGTGATAATAACAAGAGCTTTTCGCAGTTAATTGAATTACATACAAAATATACACATGTGCAAATTGCAATGCATGCTGTGGTTTAGTCTCCTAAAGGGCAAAGGGGTTGTCGCATGCTGAGCTCTGCTTTCATATCCGGATATTTCTCGAGGTCATTCGAACTTTCCAACACTTTCTGCATTCACAAAACACAAATCAACACAATTTCGTTTTCTGAATTCTAATTTACTTTTGTACGCCTATAAAAAAAATCGAGACAAACCAATGTCATGGGAAAAATCTACTATAAGAAAATGGGAAAAATACACTTTTCGTCCCTCGTGTTTACCTCAATTTCACATTTGGTTTGGGGGCTATTAAATAGACTTCTTCTTCGTGAGAGAAAAGTGACCAAGAAAATTCAACCTACTTTACACCTTGTTCCAAAATCTTTTCTTCGTGACTGATTCGACTCTTTGTGAGTGTTTGGGTGTTGGGTTGAGTGCAGTGTGTGTTTGATTTATTCGAACTCTTGGTCCTTTGTGAGTTGGGATTTTTCAGGTTTTTTCGGTTCGAGATCTGAGAGGGATTTGGGCTGTTGGGCTAGTTCCGGTGGGCGCGTGGCTGCGGCTGGTGAGTCTTGGACGAGGATTGTTAAGTGTATATTTTTACACTTTATCGTACCTTTTTATTTGAGCTTTTGGTGTGATTTAACGATAATTAGTGCTTAAAAAGTTGATTTATTGTATTTTAGGTATAAATTGAAGAATTGGAAAAGTTTGGGGTCAAAACTGCAATTTTGGAGAAAATATGGGCCAAAAGTGAAATAATCAAAAATATGAAGAAATTGGCACGGGACGGCCGTCCCAGATTTACACCTAAAAATGGGACGGCCGTGCCAAATGCAAAAATTGGGTAGAAGGTTTCGGCGATTCTCGCGCGGGCGTGTGAGAATTGCACTGATTTTCGCGCGGCCGTGCCAAAACACGCTGGAGACAATTTTGGACTTTAAATCACACAAGGAACCTAAAATCATCTACCAAGTTGGGACATCTATTTAAGCCCAAATGAAGCCCGAATTAGGAGACTTTTCACACCACCTTGGACCGAGAGAAGCGAGAGAACGAAGAATCGAGGACGGAGAATTGAAATCTTCATCGCAATTCTTCCTTTATCTATCTTTTCTTAATCTAAGTATTTTTATATTTCCCCTATGTTTTTCATAGAGAATATGAGTAGCTCAGTTTTAATCTACGATTTGTTGAACCCTAG